GTATTTATTTAGTGGTCCTTTTACACATTTCTGCTTTTATTTCTAATTATGACAGTTTCAGTCCTCCATATTTTTTTAAAAATTTCTATTTACATTTCTAAACATTTTATTTTTCCAACTCCTATCACAGTGCTGATGGAGTRTACGAGGTGTCCTTCTACTGCAACGCTGTGGTCTCCAACACCGGAGACATTTTCTGGCTCCCCCCGGCTATCTACAAGTCAGCCTGTCCCATCGAGGTGCAGAACTTTCCTTTTGACCAGCAAAACTGYACCCTCAAGTTTCGCTCCTGGACCTACGACCACACCGAGCTGGATCTCATCCTCACCAGTGATTTCGCCAGCCGGGACGACTTCACGCCGAGCGGGGAGTGGGACATCGTTTCGCTGCCGGCCCGCAAGAACGAAGACCCCAACGACATCACCTACCTCGACATCACCTACGACTTTGTCATCAAGAGGAAGCCCCTGTTTTATACCATCAACATGATCATCCCCTGTGTGCTGATCACCTCGTTAGCCATCCTGGTGTTCTACCTGCCRTCAGACTGCAGAGAGAAGATGACTCTGTGCATCTCGGTGCTGCTGGCGCTCACTGTGTTTCTGCTGCTGATATCAAAGATAGTGCCACCCACCTCTCTGGCTGTGCCACTCATAGGTTAGTCAAGTTTTTTTTTGGCTTTTTGAAACAGAAAAGATGAGCTATGACAGCAGTTGCTATTTAGCTACAGTTTAATACTGTCCCCTTGTATCATCCTTACTGCCTCAGTTACGTTATGTCTTTATGGCATGTAGCCGTCCTCAGCAGTGATGGTAACACACTGCTGACTCTACAGACCACAGAGAAGACCCACTCTTTGACACCACAATAATAATAATATATATAAGAAACGTGTTTTTAAAACAATATTTTGGAGTAAAACTTTTGTTAAGAGTTAAAATTCTACATAGAATTAATTAAGCTGACATCCTGAGTTTGTTGAAATGTTTAATTGTTCTGGCTTTATATTGTATGTCTTGAGGCGGATGAAAAGAAGCAAAAGATCCTAAATGATAAAAAGAAAAGTAAATGAAAATCCTTCTAGCTGGCAAATAGGACAAAATTACAGAGAGTGATTACATAAAAAAAACAAAAAAACAAATGAGCCTCTAGACTGATGACAGAGATAATGAATGGAACAGAACTCTCCCGTGAATAATCAGCAAACAAGAATCTGGCAGGAAGAAAAGAAAGCTGAAATGACCAAGAAAAGGGCTTTATAAAATAGAAGAGGACATTAATCTAAATCATGGAAATTATGCTGTAGCTATTTTTATGTTTGCTGAGGTCAATTAGCTGCTGCGACCACCTTTAATCTGCTCCACGAAGTAACAGTTTGTCCATCCAGTGGTTTCTTTTTGAGAGTTCCAGGAACGTCTCTCCTCATTGGTTCACAAGATACTTTTCTAACAGAAAGTCAAATTAACCCCCCCACAGTGGAAAATCTATGATTTTTCTGAGTAAGGGGGGCATCAAGGGGCCACAATATTCATAGAGGGGACAAGTGTTTGTTCAATATATTTTCACACAAATCCCTGGTTTTGGTAAGGTGTATTTATTATTTGTAATATGATGTAATATATAAACAAAACAAAACAAAAAAAAACTTGCACAGTGAGTTCTCCTTAACAGTTTTACTGTGTATAAATAAAATAAAAGGTTGAAAGACTTTTTTTTCTGCAGGATTGTTCAAATCTTAAGAGAAAAAGACCTCTGTTTGTTTTATTCATGCTGGACTCATTAGCACCTCTAGTGTTTGRACATGGAACTGCATTCACCATCACTGCTCTCAAGGAAAGGACAGATAAGTGACACTTCAGGTGGGCCAGTCAGATTTCAGCTGGGGCTAATGCCCCTGTGGCCCTGCCCCTCCCCCCCACACAAACACAGATAATTACATGACTGACTATCTTTCAAAGTAGGAGTTGATGATTGAACACAGGTCAAAGTGCAAATTTCTAACATTTCCATGAAGCTTTGGAGACTTTTAATTCAACTACATCATTGATCCTTCTGGAAGCATCTCATGCTTTTTTCTTTGTGTCTCATTGTTTCTCAGGTAAATACTTGATGTTCACCATGGTTCTGGTCACGTTCTCCATCGTGAGCACCGCCTGCGTCCTCAACGTGCACCACCGCTCCCCGTCCACCCACTTCATGCCCGACTGGGTCAAGCACCTGTTTTTGGTCCGCCTCGCCACCCTCCTCCTCATGAAGCGACCGGGCGCCTCCAACGTCCACCGAAAGTTTGCCAGCCTGAAGCCCGTCTGTAAAAACAAGTTCCCAAGCAGCTCGGGCAGGAGGCAGCCCTCCGACATCCGACTGGCCGGAGTCCAGCCGGATTATGTTAACGAGGACTTTGCGCGCAGGTGTTGGTGGAAGCAGACGGAAATTCCAGACGGACGGATTTCGGACTTCCCAGAGCCGTGGGACGCAGACCTGGAGGAGGCAGTGGACGGAGTGAGATACATCGCTGAACACATGAAGATTGAAGACGACAGTGAAGGAGTGAGAAGCTGAAGCTCAGGAAAACACACGAGCACAAAGAGATGGAAAGAAAAGTGAAATGAATAGATGAGTGTTTTTCAACCCTGGTCCTCAAGGCACACTGCCCTGCATGCTTCACAAACCTGATTCAGGTGACTGCAGTTCAACAAAAGCCTTCTGATCAGTTATCAGTTRAAATCAGCTGTGTTGAAGCAGGGAAACATCTAAAACATGCAGGGTGGTGTGCCTTGAGGATGAATTGTAAAACATATGAGCCTAAAAGAGAGAGATTGAGAAATATAATGAGGAGGACAGGAATGGAGTTTAAAGGGTATATTGGGAACTGAAGGAAACATACTGGAAATTCACAGATTAAGGAGAGCATCATAGGATTCAAGTGATGTAAAGTAGTGTTGCTACACACTCATGTACAGTAGGTGGCGGTATGCACCTTRAAGTTGCTTGTGATCTGCCATAATAGAAAAGAAGAAGAAGAAGAAGAAGCGTGCCTTGAGGACCAGGGTTGAAAAACACTGGAATAGATGACCTATTAAGCAAGCATAAAGAGATTATAGGATAAGATTTGGAATATTTAATCTTTTTATGTTTAATTTTCCTCTCTGGCAGTTTCTATAAGTGCAAAATTCCAAAAACATTTGGAACATCAAAACATTTACCATTTAGCTTTTAATTAAAAAAAATAGGTTGAACATTTATTTTAAATTCAAACAAAATGAATACATTTATTATAAGGTAAACGTGACACAGATACATTTACAGTATGTATGCATGTCTGTGTGTTAGGTTTAAGCTTCACTCTGTCATCTGTTTAAATCTGGAATCATTTGAATCTTTTCAATTCTGCAAACTTTTAACTAAACTTCACTCAGGTTTTCCACTTGTAGGCGCTCATGACAGAATTTCTTTAAACTCGGTATTAATCATTTGTGGTTATAAATAACCCCTGACACACCTCGGGTTGCTTCAAAACCTTTGCAGCCGCTGTTGATGAATCCCTCCTCCTGATTAATAAATATTCATAAAGGAGTTGACTGTTCAGGGCAGGAGTTCTGCAAGCTGTCACTTAAAAAAAAGAATTGTGAGCAATCAAACCCAAAATAACACATTGATTCAACTTGTGAGGTAATGTAATGCAACTCTCGCACAGGTTCTGATCATGACAACCTGTCACAGTTTCAACCTGTTGCTTCGGTTCCAGATCATCGAGGACTGGAAGTACGTGGCCATGGTGATAGACCGCCTTTTCCTCTGGATCTTCATCCTGGTGTGCGTGGTGGGAACCCTCGGACTCTTTCTGCAGCCGCTGTTCCAAAGCTACAACACGCCCACAGCTGATGACACAGAGTGAGTCACATATGCTRCGAAACGTTCAAACAAACCCTCTGACACACTTTCAGCTCAGAAAAATAAATAACATAAAAAATGCCCTTCAAGTGACAGAACGTAAAATATGCACAATATTTGTTTTACTTTACAGCTGTGTTTGATAAGGTTGTGTAGCTGTGGCGGCCATCTTGAATTGGGTTACGTGCTAGATGAACATAAAATGATTGTTTTTTAGTTTTAGTAAAATTTGCTCAKTGGTTTACTACAAGATATTTTTCTAACTGTTCAGACAAATGAATTCACATACAGTCAAAAACATGACTGCCTCTTTCATTTTGGTGCTGGACAACAATGATTGCATTGTTCTTAATTTGCAAAAAAAAACTAATAATTTTTTAAATGTGTTTACTTTTTCATAGATATGGAGATTTCTAGAGACTCTGGGATGCAACAAGGAAAGAAAAACATCCCACATTGAAGCCTTGAGAAGCTTAAACCTCATCTGTGGGGCTTTTGGTTGGATTTGACATGCAGCCAGTCTAAACCAAGCTGCCGGCTGCACCTGATGTTTCTGCAAGACCGGACAACAAATCAGACTCTGAAACCTGGTCTCTGCAAACATCCGAGGAACTGAACTCCAATAAAAGCCTGACAGCATTYATGGTATTTTTTTAAATAAGCAGCTTCTGTCAAGGTGAACTGTTGCAGGCTGGGTTCTTTTCAATAAAAACATTGTTATTTTAGACAGCCTTTGTGGCTCAACAGACTCATTGTCTTCACACTGCAGCTCCCATGAGGTCAGCTCTTCTCTGCAGCATCYCTGATAAGAAAAAATCACACAGTTTTTACTGCAGTGGATTAGAATTCCTCATGTCTCCACGTTATCCAAACCRAGGTTTATTGTCACAAAGTTTTGTCCTCTTCACCTTTTTACGTCATTAAAATTTAAATGCACAATCTCTTGCTCTCTTTCCCACGTCCATCTGCCAAGCAGCTTCAAACAGACTCAAACTGTCTCTCTAAATTTCTTTTTTTAATCGTTTTGTGCCAAATCTGATCACAGGTCCTATCAGAGAAAATGAGCTCTAAAAGGATAAATGAGAGAAAATGAGGTTTGAAGTCAGAGAGAATAGTCCTTCTTTAAAGGATGAACACTCTAAGTTAAATTTGCTTTGTAATGTGGAAGAAAATAATTCACTTTGTGAATACATCTGTCATCATTTCGAGTGCTTACTTTTAACAGCTACCTTAAACTTTTAGGCCTTGTTCACACCTTCCACTTTAGATCTGCTGTGGGTGAGTGGTCAGCTCTGAGTGGGCTGTAGAAAATATCACTCAGAACATTTTGAAAACTCAAAATGTTTCAGTGWCCAGATTTCCCCTGAGCTGAACACTGACAGCAGGAGGTCAGCTGATCTCACAGTAAGAGACCGGAGCAAAGAAACCCCACAGAAAACGTTTAATACGTAAAAGTCCAAAAAAAAAAAAAGGTCTTATTTTTGGGTCTACATCAAGTGAGAAGGAAAAAAAAAGCTTATATACTGTTCTCTTAAAACTTGTGCATCTTTCCTCAGCTGGATTAAAGAACAAACACTCTTTGCTCCACTGAGTGTGTTTCGAAATTTCTAAATCTCTGAACCACATCTGCCCTCCACAGCTAATATCTGGTGAAAAGAACAGCCCCATTTTCTTGTCACCAGCCACTGAAGACAGAGCACACAGTGGATGCAGTGTTGCATGAACACACAGACACACACACACAGACATGTGCACRCTCACACACATATTCACAATAGACCATAATAAGATTTAAAGGATCCAAATCCTTTATCTCAGCAAAAGTGGAACACTGACTCCTGACCTGGAGTCACAGCATCAGCAAAAAAACTCCCAGCCTCTGGTGCAGTGGACAGTTATCGACAAAACACATATTTATTGTTGTCCCTCTGGCTGGTGTGTGTGTCTGTGTGTGTGTGTGTGTGTGTGTGTGTGTGTGTGTGTGTGTG